AAGGAAATATTCTTTCCCTAACTGATAGAATAAGCTTGGAGTTCTTGTTTCATTTCTGCACAAGAGGAAATCAGAGGTCTGATCAGCTGTCCTGATAACAGCCGCTCCCAGTTAGGTAGTTCCACCCCCCCCCCTTACCTCTACCTCTAGAGTGGAGGGGAGGCAAAGAAACCTTATAAACAATATACTTCCACCCCGCCCCCACCTCGACAAGCAAGGTGCAGCTGAATTCTCCCCCAACACGCGCACATACACACAAATACCACCCCGGCAAAGCTGGAGAGGGTCTGAGGAGTGGGGAGGGCCGCGGTGGGATAGGAGTCAATGGGGAGAGACGCAAAAAAAAAAAAAAGGTAAATTAACTTACTGATCTCGCCTGGGATCCATTTGGGAAGACGTACCTTCCCTAACAGCAGCGCGAGACGTCGTAATCCGCACTAACTGCCTGGTCCCACTGTCCCAGCATTAAACAGCTCTAGCAGCTGCGATGGTGGACAGTTAAGATTATATATGATGTAAATATATTGTGGGTATGTCAGCTCCCCCAAACCATAAAACTTAGTTTAATGACATCACGTGCTCACCGAGAGCCATTCAGGGCTTTTGCTTTGGGCTATCCACATAAATAACCTTCAAAAGTTTTAAACTACTAAATTCACTTTAGAAGCCATGGGTATTTCTGCTAATGTTCTCAGGGAACGTAAAAGCCTGAGCTGAAAAGGTCTTGGATTATTCTTCTTCCTTTTCCCCCCCATTTCCCCCGTCTCTCATCCTCTTTTTGAAAGCTGGTGCGCGCGCCCGCCCGCGCGCGCGCGCGCCCACACACACACACACACACACACACGGAACTTTGGGGTCTGTCATTCCCCCCCCCCCCCCGCTCCCTTCTTGTCTTGTTTGGAGGCCTTTTAAAAGTCCCCACTGTGTTGACACGGATGACAGTGAAAGGTAAGCGATGTTTCATTTCCTTCTCGGCTTCGCAACAGTTCTTTAGGGAAGGGATTGAAAAGCAGGCGAAAAGGGAAGACCGGGGGGTGGGGGGAGAAGGTTCTGAATAACAAAAAGTCAACGACAAGCCCAACAACGAAATATTAATCAGTCCTGAAAAATTACTTTTTAAAAAGACAGGGAAGAGGCCCAAATAGACCCACGTTGTTGGCTGGATAAACGAATAATTAATCATAAGGCTGGATACCCGGCTGGTTCGCGTTATGGTAATGGAAAAGTTTGGACTGCTATGCTTTTAAAGGCTTCTGTCTCTCGGTCTCCGCACCCACCCCCATAAAACAAAAGTGTATCTGATTTTGTTAACGCTAACCTGTCGCGCCCAATTACTCTTTGGCTGACTTCGGATTCTTTAAGGAGGGGAGACTCCAAGGTTTAGCGGAAAGAGGGACAGGGGATAAATACCCGGGAAAAAAGAAAACCTATGACAAAATAAAATGAAACAGACAAAAAAATATGTCAAGGTTGCTTTGATGTCTCTGGAAACACTCCATAGGTGGAACACAGGAATAGCCCCTTCTTTCCAAACGTTCTAGAAGGCAGGCACCTAACGTTCCACTCCGCTTTGTTTTATTCTTGTTTGGAATTCTAACACGTATGTACAAAGGCACCACATGACAATTGGGGGGGGGGTCATCTTTGGATCAAACAGAAAGGGAGAAAATGGAGAACCTCCCGTTCATTCTTCACACGTTTCGCCTCCTAAGTTGCAATCGAAGGCAAGTTAAGCAACGAAAGGGTAGGGAGAAGACACTACTTGGAGGACTGAAAATTGTCATAAAGCAAACCGTCAAGGCTTTAGCGACAGTACCATTTGATCCTGTTAAATAGTATTCTCAGTGATAATAATAATA